AGAAACTTGTAAGGACTCAGAAAAATGACAGGGACACTTTTTTATTGCAGATTAGTCCATACAGGTCTCTTTAAAAGGGTCAAGCTTCAGAGGAAAAGCACAAGTCATGCAAACAGACCACTGGAGGAATGTATATAAGTACTCCAGGCAATGAAAGAGAATGATGCTCTCGCTTGGTAGTGGCAAATGTCAAAATAAAAAAAAATCAGCATCACTGTGGAAGTTATTTCTCTTGGATAAAAGAGCAGCTTAGTGCTTATTCAGAGAGGAGCAGGAAAGTAGAACTGCCTTTTTTCACCTTTAAGTACTTAAGATCCCAATTTTATTTCTTCTGCACGGGTTTCTATAGACCAGCACAAAAATATTGTTACTCTTTGCACTCCATACAGAAGCAACTTTTGACTTCTGATCTCCACTCTGTAACTGAGTAATTTTTGTTCTTAAAAAAAGTGTATGAACATGCATCCACTTTCCTACATACACTGCATTGGCTGTAGAACATCATATGCTAAAATCCAAGAAAAATAAGGCAAAAAAATCTCACATCTATAAAAAAGAATAAAACCTCTTTTCTTGTCATCCTAGGTATGTTTACATTGCTCACTAGAAATTAATGGTATTAATGCCAGAAATTCCAGAGCCCAAGGCTAATCCAGTTGCATAAACGTACGATGATTGCTGTTTTGAAACTATTACTGAATTCTGGCATAGGAGCGGCAAATATTATCCAAGCTTTTTATGACTATATTTATGGTCAGTATAAATAATATTTGATAACATGGCTCTTGAACTTGCTAAAAGAGAGCATTGTTTTTCTCAGATGTAAATGCATTTATAGTCAAAGGAATCAGTGAGCATATGTAAAGGGCACATCACAGAACTCCCGACTCTGAAAATCCATCCCTCTTTCTTCCACTAGCATTAAGAGAATGCTGCCACTATTTTCTAATTCTATGCCACTGAGAGACCTCCCAGTCTCCCAGAAGTTGTGACCACCCCAGGAACTCAAATTGTTCGCTTTCATGCATTCATTTTGATGCTGGATTGATTTATTTTCATGTAGAATTACAGTAGTAATATGCTTGAGCTGCATAAATCTGGAAGCCATGTATATTTTCATTTATTTATAATCACATTTTAATGACAACTATGAAAGGTATGTATGTGAGATTGGTAACTGTGGCATTTTGCAGTGTCATCTTTCTCAAGATGTATTTTCCTGTTAAATTCATTTGTATCAAGCCCTCTGAGCTTACTGCGACCTCACTTTCAGCCAGTCAGCAAAAGCAATAAACAAAGAAGCTTTGCACAGCACATTTCCCTTTTCACTTAGCTGCTTACAAAGCCATCATTCAAAGATTGTTTTGGAAACATTTGTCTGACTCACTAAAATTGAAAGGAGGATTACTCAGGGACAGGAGGGAGGAGGAACAGCACAACATGCAGGGAAGAGATGGAGTGGCTTTTGAGACACATCAGTGCCCAGTCTATAGTGTTGTCTGCAGAGCAACAGACAATGGGCATTATTTAAAGAATTAAACCCCAAAATTTAAAATGACTGATGGTATGATTGGGGTTTTGATTCATATAAGTAGGTTTGCTGACAGTAATACAAATTAATCCTCTCATAGAAACCATAACTCTGAAAGCATTTCACAAAGTAAGCAGCATCTTTATCAGTGCTTTATAAACAGGGTAACTCTGGCATAGATAATCAAATCCTTATGTTATTCAGCAGGCCAGTGATAGACTTCAAAATAAAAGTGATAGACTTCAAAATAAAAGTTTAACTCTGTACATCCTGTATCAGTGAGGAATTCATGGACTTCCTCCTTTAAAGAGATTATTGTGACAAAATTGAAAGGTTTAATTACTTTATCTATGGTTGGTTTGGTTTTGTTTGTTTTGGTTGGTTGGGGTTTTTTTTGTTTGTTTTTTCTTGGGATGCAAATTCAAGTACAGATTTAGAAGGGAATCAGGAGTTTTCTCTCTGAAAATAAGCCAAGATTTAGGAACAAAAGACAGCTGAAAGGGGAGTGTGTGTCTGGGAAAGAATTAGAGCTCCCTGTTCTCTCTGGCCATCAGCTAAACAGGCAGGTTGCCAGAACAGGAGCACTGAGTTTGTATTTGGGGGAATGGGATCCAGGTATTCTCTCTTGGAAGCAGAGGCTGTTGAGAATTTGTGCTTGGCAAAGCTGCTGCAAGAACAGCTCCATCCTTCTCCCCCCTGTGACTGAATTACACCCACAAGCCAGATTTGAGTTCATACCACACAGAAGCAGAACCCACTCTCGTACACAGAATACCACTAAAATACTTATGTTAACTACTTTTTAAAACTCACAAACTCTTGACCTGTATCTAACGTGACAGCAAATTCTCTTCAGTTCTTGACAATCCTTTAAACCAATTGTTCTTGCAGAAAAGACTCTGACAATAATATTGAAGAAATGACCTTCTCTTCACCCATTTTCTAAACCCATTTGTCACTGAGAGCTCTGCAAATCAGGCTGTATCAATCACATTACACTACAATACATCATACCACGTGCTAAGGCATGAGTGATGTAACCTAAGATTAGATGTCGTAACCACACATATTACACACAGATATTTGAGAAGTCAAAAGACCGCATTCTTATCTGACATGAACTGACTTGTTTGGGGAGGTCTGGGGGATTTTCTCTTTGGGGATAAACTACAAGATAGGATATGTTTTATCTGCCAACATTACACCAGTCCATTTGATTATGTGTCATTTGCTGTAGCATTACATTGGCTGAGTAACATTAGCAGATTCAACATGTATTCCTCTATGGATATTTGACCAGCCATGGAAAATCACCTCCTGTAAGAGCAGTTGGTGGAAACTGATCTAAGGGAAACTGAAATGGTGATATTTGGAAAGGAAAATGTTTCAAAAGTTATTCCAAAGCTTTCCATTTCTATTTGTTAATCTAGTGCACATGTCTGGGTCTTGTTGGGTGCCTCCTACACTTGGGCATTCACAAAATATCAGTCTCCAAAATGAGCATTTGTCCTTCCATTGTATTAGTTCAGTCCTGCCTAAGGACAGTTTCCTGTGGCAGTCTCTGTCATTGAATCTTTGTGTCCAAACGAAGGAGACAAAGCATAACTTCCCTGTAAACTGCATGAGTTGAAGGCATTCCATACAGCTTGACAATAAAACATAACTTCATGTGAGGGGAAAAATGGCATTCGGTATTCCCGTTTAAAAGGGAATGAACTGGACATAATTTCACCTCTTCACATGCATGTCATTTATACTGTCACATAAGTGAAAATAAAAAAAATTAAGAATATAAGGCTATAAAAAATATAGCAAATAATAGTAAAATATTATAAGTAAGAAGAGGTAAATAAATAAACAGGAACTAACTTTTTCCTCCATTTAAGCTTTAAAATCAAGTTAATCTTCTACTGGAAAAATGTCCATTAAAATGGGCTGTAATACTGTAAATGCACATATGCAAAACCTAAGTCATATTCTTCAATGTCTCCCACGAGATTTTTACCTAAATAAAACTAAATTTAGGTGTGATGGTTGTATTTCTTTGCACAATAAAATCTCTCATGATAATAATGACAGAGTTGCCTTATGAACCCTACAGAACTTCAGCCTAACAGATGGGATAAATGAACACACCCCCAAACTTCTGGGTTCTCATTCAAAATGATTCTCTGCCTTTCTGCAATTTTTTAAGAAGACAAATGGCTTCAGGTCAGTCAAAACAATCCAAGACATTTACAAATACTGTAAAGGAAAAATACGCCATTTCTGAAAGGAAAATATAACAGTCTTAGGAACTCCAAGCCCCACACTCACAGCCAGACCAGGTTTCCTTACCAGCTTGATCTCAGTTTTCCCATACCAGAGTCTTCAAATCCTGATCCTTAAAATGATTTCATCATAGGGCAATAAAAAAATAACAGCTAGAGCTGGGTGCCTCAGGGGAGAGACACCCAACAAAGGAAACCCTGGTTTTCATACCCTCCCAGTCTTGAAAATTTTACTAGGAGACCTTAAGGTTTAGAGAAGAAATCTCAGGGGAAAAAAAAAAGAGGCCCACATTACATTTACCAAGTAGGAAAGAAAAAACCCATCTTTTGCAAAACATGCAGTTCAATAAAAGTCAAATGTCAAATATATAAAGATTGACTGGTAACTGAAAAACAAGTGCTGTGAAGAGAAACCTGCTGTGCAAAGGAGGAAATGGAAACCCCAACTATGACACCTTGACCATGGTTCAGAATAAGTACTCATGAATATATTCACCTACCTTGTGTTATAGCTCATCTAACAGTGTATCTGGGTGTATGAGGAACAGACACATACATAAATGTATTTTTTATTGTGTGCCAAAACAGTCACAAAAAAAAGGAACACCTCAAATTAATCTTCTAAATTTTCACCTTCTGAAATGTATTAAGTTGGTCACATTCACCTACTAATTCCAGTGTTTAAATAAGGACTTAGAGTAAGGATGTTCTTGTATGATATTGTAAATAATGAAAGCTTAAAAATAGCTTTTGGTTCATTATTCTGTGTCTTCCAGTGATGTTCCAAGGATAAGTCAAATTATGAAAGTAATTGCAGATTGTAAAAAAAGGAATAATTAGCTTTGTAATAGAAAACATTTCTGCAGCTTGTGCAGGTTGTTCGAGCCAATTTTTGCTTCATTAATCGAAGTAGGTATTCAGCATACGTTAATTCTGTACCCAGAATTTAGAAGTGGCAACTAATCAATAAAAATAAATGAATATTGATATGGCAGGACTTTTGCAATATTGTATTTATGGTGCCCCTGAAGCAAGTCAGATCCTCCATTAAAAGATCAATAAACTAATGCAAAGGCTAACGCCCTGCATCCAGAAAGTCGTGGCGTCAGGGGAGAAGAGGAAGGAAGCTAAATATTTATTCCTGTATTTCTGATGAGACGGCAGAACTTCGGGAAGATTGAAACTGGGACATCGATTACCTTTCCAGTGGAGTCCAAGGCTGCTTTGCCATGTTCAGTCAACATCCATATATCAGAAAAGGCCTTCCTCTTCCCTCGTGTTTCAGTGCTCCCGTAAGTTCTTCTCTGAAAGAGCAAGATAAGACATTCCATTTTTGATCAGCAACAACATAGCTCTTTGAATTTCATATGCTGCTGAACTCACTGCTTTCAAAATGGAAGAAGAGTTATAATAAAATCAGATTCTTTTCACTAAAGTTAAAAAAAAAAAAACACAAACAAACAACTGGTCAATGAAAATACCAGGGTAAATGATGTCATACAGAAACTTTAGTAACAGTTGTCAAAAATCTTACGGTTGAAACATTAATCAAATGTTAGATTTTGTTTAATAAATAAAATGCGTGGATACACATGCACATACGAAGTCCCTGTGTTAATGTAAAATTGTATTTAACAGTCAGAATTTAATAGTCAAAGTGTTTGTATTGAGGGATTTAGACTGTTTTTATTTAAGAACATGTGAAAAATAGTTAATGAGTTTTTTTGCCTTTAAAACATATGACTTGATAATGTAACCTAAAAATAAGTATGACTTGATAAAACCCACTTAATTAAAACAACAACAAACAAACCTACTTCACTTTCAAATAACTTTCTTCACATTTTTCATTAGCTTAAATCTGGCTTGAAAACTGTCAGGTCTGATATTTTACTACTGTAATTTATGTATTTTACTGCTGTATGTGAAAAGAGAATGAAAACAGTACAGAAAAAAAGTTAACTATTTTTTTATAAGACAGATATCCTTCTCAAGCTCTTTTTCAAAGTGATTGTTTCAGTAATTTCACCCGCAACAAAGCAAACATTTTCCCCAGAGTTTAAACCAGGCTCTTTGAATCAAAATATTTTCAAACTTTTTTTACCAAAAGTATCCCAGCTTTGCCTACTCTGCAGACCATTTGTCTTCACCTGAGTTTTTACTTTCTATGCTGTTGTTTTGTCTTGAAAATTTGATCCCAAGGTTGACCTGTTCACTAGGGGTGACTTATTAAGGTAACAATCTTTAGCATCATGAGTTGCCTTCCAGTCCACACTGTGAAGAAGCACAGAAATTCCACAAATTGGTTTTATGCTGTCAGGGTGCTACAGAGCCCTTGCTGTGCCCATAAATCCATACCCCAGGGTTTAGCACAGTATAGAAAGCAGTTAGCAAGATATTGCTACGTAACTAAAAATGACAATAATAAAAGTATATATTGTATATGAACTTCTCAGGTAGCCTGGTTAGAAAATCTTAATCATTACTAGCTATGGATTGATTTGCCAGTGCTACAGAGTTTCAATAGATTTTTTTTTTTAGGTAGCTATTATTTGAGATCACTTCTCATTGCTGGATTTGTTGGGTTTTTTTAAAGAATGAAGATTGACACCACTGATCTCACCCTCCTGATTTTGAAGCATTGCGATCTGCCTTTAAAAAGGCCAGTTCTGTTTAAATGAAGGCTTTAAATTCTTGCCTGGAAATAAAGTAATCAAAGGAATAGGAATACAGCCTTTGCTCAAACTTCCACTATTTTGACAAGCTATAGGAGCTGATTCTGTTTCTAAATGGTGGTACTGAAATTAAGATTGATGAGAAAGTATTAGAAGAAAATAACTTCAAGTTACATGCAATAGCATTTAATTGCATAATTTAAATTCTTAAGCATTTCAATTTTATATTCATTCAGGGTTTTGCATAATTAATTTGCAGATTTCCAGAATGCATTAGGATGAATCTTTTAAATGGATGGATGGTTATTAATGGATGATATAAATATATTATTCATTATTTTTGGTTGTCATTGTAAATTGGACTGAGTACTTCTAAATGAATATTAAATTCAACATCATCCCCTGAATTCAAAAGCAAAATGCATCCTCAGTAATAATTTGTAGAAATACAGAATACTTCAGGTGTCATTTCATAATAAGTGCTCTGTAACAAAATGCTAAATTGTTAATGTCACACTTTGCTTTTCTCTGGAAAATGGCAGGATCACCCAGGCAAAACTGAATTTCAAGTAGTCAACCTTTTCAGAGATGTCACCACTAGGCAGATCTGTTCTAGTTCAGAAAAAAATTTTCAAAGTCCTGATTACCTAAGCAATACTAATATTTGCAGGGCAACTGAATGCTACGTTGGGGAATAATTTCATTTATACCAAAAAGTACCAAAGAACACCTACAAGAAGATGTCCACAGAGAAATTCAATTAACTAGAGAAGAAAGGGGAAAAAGGCAGGAAAGAAAAGAGTCTCAGTTAAGGAAAGCTCTTTCAAGAGTTGTTTCCAGCAGGTAACATAGATATTCATAAACAATTCTCATTAGTTAGAACTCCTGCACTCTGTAAATTTATCTCTTTTTAATGCTTCAGTTCTTACCATGTGTTATTCAGTGCTATTCTGCACAAAATAAATGAGGAAATATCCTTAACAGAACACTGGAACAATTAAAAAAAAAATAGCTGTTAAAACCTAAATTCTCTTTAAATGTAAGAAGGACTTGAAAATTTAGGGTGTTTACAGATGAAGTGGCGGATACCAGCAAACAGTGAGACACTCAGTAAGTAGATTCTTATCTAGGGAATACTTCCAAAAGGGTTGATGATGCCATCTGCAAGGGAGAACTAAAGGTACCCAGTTAGGAATACACTGGCAGAAGAGCCTAGAAAAACCTCAGAGATTTCTGCAAAGCTGCTTTTCAATGCAATTCGTTGCTTATAACTATCTGTAGTGTGTCTGACTCTCGGATGAAGTTAATTTTCTTCCCAGCAGCCTGTACAGTGCTATGTTTTGGATTCAGGACTTGAACAGTGCTAACACACCGGTGCTGTGGCTGTTACTGCACACTGCTTACCCTGCAGCAGCTCCTCTCACTGCCTCCCTGCTCAGCGAGTGGGCTGGGACGGCACAGGAAGCTGGAAGGAGACACAGTGGGTGCAGATGACCTGAACTGATCTCCTCACCTTAGGGCAGGCTCAGAAAGGAGAGCTTAGGGAACAGAGGAGGAAGTGGAGATGCTCACAGTTACGGTGTTTTGGCACCACTGAGGCCCTGCTTTTCAGGACAGGAGCCAAGAATCTACCAGTTGATGGGGAGTATTGAATAAATCCCTTATTTTGCTCTCTTTATGCATGAAGTTTTGCTTCACTTACTAAATTGTCTCTACCTCGACCCATGAGTTCTCACTTTTGCTCATCCA